TATTATTATTATTATTATTATTATTATTATTATTATTATTATTATTAAGAATTTGGGTCTCAGTTTTTGATGGAAGGTCATTGTTCAAAGAAGATAAGTACTCCAAGCATACTGTATAAATGCAAGAACCATGCAGAGCTTACTTTTACAAAGTTGCTGCTGTTTTTACTGAAGAATTGGGAACATTTGTGTTATAATATTGTTAGTGAAAAAGGGCAAATCATAGCATTTCTTCTCAGAAATGCCTAATTACAGGTAGCACTTTTTTTTGAGGGCCAGTCCAAACAAATTCTTACAAATAATTTACATTTGATATGGCATCCTATGAGACACACCCATGTCAAACCAGTTTTCTGAAAACCTCTCCACCCTTCAATTTCATCTTCATAATACAGGGGAAATAAGGCCTCAAGACTCACAAGCCCAGAAATTAGCCCTTAAAGCAGTTCTTTACTCTGCACCCAATTCACAGTCCCTGCCACAAAGGAGATCTTGACTCATTTACAAAAGCATCTACTGTATTCACATCGAAACCCCACACCAGCCATTTAATATTGTCAGGAGATCAAATTCTCTAAATTCTCACGGCCTGATAAGTCACATGCAACCACTGGTTACATAGCTACATAATGTAATTCCACAAAAAGGGAAGATTAATATTCATCTGGTTTTTAATGAGATTAAACTGCTAAAGAGCCATTCATACATTGGCAGGTGTTAGTTCCCTCTGCACTGCACTTGACAGTTAGCACCACTTACAGTTTTCACTATTGCTGGCCCAGATTCATCCACAGGTCCACCAGACCCTCGTCCTTCTCTTTTGTCCATGGTCATCTAATTTATTATGAGGACCATAAATTTTTCGTTCTTGTTTTAGAGCGAATTCTTTTCAAGATGTAGAATGCTATGATAAATAACAAATCCATCCTTCTGAGATATGACTCTGGATGCATGAAGCACACATACTTGGCCCAGCATATTCCATCCACACCCAGTCCCATTGGGCAAGGTCAGTTTTTAAGATGTCTGGTTCTGCCGTAGGCAGAAGAAGCTGCTGACTGAAAGATGTGGGTGTAAACAAATCAGGCCCAAATGTCAGAATCATTTTGGTTGCACAAGTCCAAATATCGCCTCAACTACACATAACTTCTTTTAGATATGACAGCAGCTGTTAAACAGTTAAGATAACACACAACTATAATTTCAATTATTTAAGAAAATGAACATGGTATGTGCCATTACTTCAAATGTATAGTCTTGTCCAAACAATTTGAAAACTAACAAGATTCTGTAGGCTCAGAAAAGGAACAAGCATGTTAAGATGTGATTCTCTCTAGATTCTCTGAAGTAACTGGCACATAATAATAATTTTGCTATAAGCATACATCATGGCTGGTTAGTGGATATTCCATTCAAATTCAGCTGTTTACTCCAAAATACATTCTTTGAAGAATGTAGCTCAAAGCATTTCCAGTAGATTGAGAATAATGCTGTTCCTCAACATCTGTTTTAGTTTGTTAAAATGATATAGCTAGATACAATTCCTGTTAAATTGCTCTCAAAAATATAATCTGTAATAAATAAATCATAGTAAATCTACAACATATTAACAGCTGGGAGAAATAGATATCATACATAGAGATACCAGCATCAGAAGCTATTTCTGGCAGGGGTTCAGCCCATTAAAATACTAGGAGGTGTTTGTTTGGAATTAGCAGAAAATATATTTAGAACTAAGAAGATAAGGTCTACCACCATATAGCCAATCAATCAATCAATCAGTGGCAGTGGCAGGGACAATCTAGCATGTGAAGAACATTCCTTCTGTATCCCAAAGGTGCTTTTTAAAGAGGCAACTGGACTTTTTGGTTTTTCTTTGAAGACATTTCACTTTTTATTCAAAAAGCTTCTTCAGCTCTGCATAGTCTATAGAGATTCTCAGTCATCCAGGTCATGGTTGTTCCAAAAATGCTTTTCAAGAAGCAACTAGACTTTCTCATTTTTCTTTGAAGATGTTTCCATAGAGATTCTTTCCCTATGTTCCAATATCTGGTTTGTAATAAGCCAATCTTCTACACCAGCCTAATGTTTCAGGCTGATCCTTTCAGTTCAAATAAAGTTAACTTGATGCACTCATATCCAGGCAGTATGATCAATGGCAAGATCTGCCATAGTTGCATTTGGACATTTTTGAAAGATAAATATACCATCTTTCAAGATGCTTCAAGAGCTCAATACTATATACATTGTACTTCTCCTGGTTCTCCTACAACAACTCTATGAAAAGGTTGCTCTGGAAGAGAATGACTGGCCGAAAGTCACCTAGTGACATTCTATGCTAAAGCTATACTAGAACATAAGTCTCCCAATCCTAGGCCAGCTCCATAACTACTGCAATTGCTTTAAAAATGCTTCTAAAATATGGAAGATATCTAAATACATCAGAAAAACCAATTTTAATAAGCCCTCACATGTGAGAAGAGACAGAGAGGTATGACATTTCTAGTGATATTCCCCCAATAGAGTGAAAATCATGCATGACAGTTCAGCACTGGTAGTAATCTGCATTCAGATGACATAAGACTGTATAAATAACATGAAGTTTTGCCTGTAAAATAATGCTATCTTGGATAAGAAGAAGGATAAAGAGATGGCATCAGAGGTGGTATTCAGCAGGTTCTGACCAGTTCTGGAGAACCGATGGTGGAAATTTTGAGTAGTTCGGAGAACCGGCAAATCCCACCTCTGACTGGCCCCGCCCCCATCTATTCTCTGCCTTCTGAGTCCCAGCTGATTGGCTGGGTCATCTTTTGTTGCCCTGCATAGGAGAACGGAGCAGGAAAGCAGGTTAGTGGGGTGGGGAGGGAATGGCGATTTTGCAGTAACCTCCCCCTGCCACACCCACCAAGCCACACCCACAGAACTGGTAGTAAAAAAAAAATGAATCTCACCACTGGATGGCATTATAGTTTATAAATGGTAAAGTTAAGGAGAAATGAGACCCAAGCTAATCAGTTACTTATTCATAATCTAATGTGCAAGAAGATTTATGTACTGAAAGTTTGATGGTTGGTTTATAATGCTGAAGCAATAGTTTGCTTCAGACAAGTTTTACAATTCTAGTTGTTATGTTAACAAGCAATCAAAAATCAAAATCCTCCTAATTGCATTTATTCAACATTAAGCCACAATTATTTTAAAGATATAATTTCTTCTACCATCTTAAATTTTCTTATGGAGAACGTATTCGGTGGGATGTAAAGTTCTTCCACATTTCAATGACACTGTAAGGAAGTGTAACAGTTTTTGAATGACTACAATGAGTTTGAATGGCTTTTCTATGCATTCCTTTAATTTTTAATTTTATCATTTTGGTGATGGAAGTATTCCAAACTTGCAAGTATAATTGATACTTTGGGTGAATTATTGAAGAAGTTGTTTTAAAGTGACAGAGTTTTAAAGTTCCCATTTTATTCAGAGCAGAGAGACGTAAGCAAATATTGTAGCACAAATCATTTCTTTATACACAGTAAAGGCAGAACAGAGCCTCAGCTTTTCTCTTAAACTGATTGAAAAGAAGCCAACCCAAGAATAATTACTCTGCCCCCCTCCATGGGATAAAACTACTCTATATGGGTATCCAGAGCAACATTACTATGGCAACCAAACCTAACAGATTTAACTAAGAACATTTTTCAGAAGACTAGCAGGAGCATTTTCTAAAACCTATTCATACATTTATACAACTCATCCCCCCACATTGCAGATACAATCACAACAATTTCAAAGAGATTATTTTTTTACCAATGGCTGTGATTTGTTAACCCTGCAAAAGGAAAAAAAATCACTACTATAATACAGCTGCCCATCATAGACCCATCTATGATGAGACCCATCATAGTACTGATGTTTATAATTGTGCCTTATTAAAATTGATAAGTCCTCACCAGTATGAGAAGGGACAGAGAGCTATAAGACATTTCTAGTGTCATTCTCCCAATAAAATGAAAATCATACATGACAGTTCAGCACTAGGAGTAATTTGCATTCAGATGACATGAAACCACAACTAATATGGGAGTTTTGCCTGTAAAAATAATAAGAGTTTGGTCTTGGAAAAGGTACAGAGGTGGTATTCAGCAGGTTCTGACCAGTTCTGGAGAACCAGTAGTGGAAATTTTGAGTAGTTCGAAGAACCAGAAAATACCACCTCTGACTGGCCCTGCCCCCATCTATTCTCTGCCTCCCAAGTCCCAGCTGATCGACTGGGTCTTCTTTTGTTGCCCTGTGTAGGAGAATTGAGCTGGAAAGCTGGTTAGTAGGGTGGGGAGTGAATGGGGATTTTGCAGTATCCTTCCCCTGCCACGCCCACCAAGCCACGCCATGCCCACCAAGCCACATCCACAGAACCAGTAGTAAAAAAAATTGAATCCCACCACTGGAGAAGGATCAAGAGACAGCATTACAGTTTATTGACCATCAACTGAAGGAGCAATGAAAATTTTATGTTAATAGTAATCTTATGTTAATAGCAGTTCTTTTTGATTGTTTGTTTCTTGCTTTTGCTTTTTAGGATAAATTAATGAACATTTATCTAAAAGGAAGTGAATTGATAAACTATTTTCTGAAACTATTTTTTTAAATCCTCTAAGTAAAATGAGGAAATAAGTGAGAAATGAAAAATCCCATGCATACCTTCAATTCAAAGTATTGTATAAGAATATAAGCTGACTTTTATATTGATTAATCTTTTCACTGGATATGCTGTTCAATACATAAACCATTCTCTACAAGAATGAAGATAGCAAAACTTTGGGCACTAATGTATAATCAGCATATTGCACTATAATTTAGTTTAGATTACACTTCAGCACATTACATTATAATTTAGTTTTGATTAACTAAGTTCCCTTAAAAATAGGCCTGTCAGGTTATATGCTTTGGGGATAATACTGTCACTCTTTAATGGGAAAGAAAACTATACTGTTCACAATTACATAAAGTAATCGGGAAAAATGTACAAAATACATTTCTGTTTATCATACTACTGTCAAAGACTTAGAAGGAAAAGAGTAGACTGTATTGCAAAATATAATTTCATATCCTTTCTGAAGATTGAAACTACAGATAGTAAGATAGAATTGTCGTGTTTTTGCTTTTTCATTAATTTTTATTTACATCCTACCTTTTTTAGTTTTACAAATAGCTTAAGGCAGTGAACCTTCCTCCTCCTATTTTCCTCACAACAACCCTGTGAGGTGGGATGAACTGAAAGAGAGTGACTGACCCGAAGTCATGGTTTTCAAGACTAAGGCAGGATTTGAACTCATAGTCTCTTGCATTCTAGCCTGATGTCTTAACAATTGACCAAACTGGTTCTCCACTATTCAGAGAAATATTTATCCAGCTATATTGAATTTCTGGAATACTGAAATATAAAATATATAATTTATCATCAAGGACAGTCTTCCCTTCTTGGCTAAAATGGTTTTATTTAACTTAGAGATCAATATAGTATAAAATTTCTATACAAATTTCCAAAAAAGATGTTCAATACATCATATTGATGTATAAAGACCTAAAACATTTTAAATGGAAGTAATAAAAATAATGACAATGTTAAAAATACATGTACTGTAGAAAACATAATTCCATTTCCCATTTTAAAAACAAACTAAATTTGCTGTTTAAATTTTCTAATTTGCCTAAATGACAACATGGTACTACTTGCAATGAATTCAAGCAAGTTCATGAAATGAGTTGCATTAGATATGGAGTAATCAAATATTCTAATCTATATAAAGAGGTTTGGAATGGGTTCTGTCTCC